CCCCAAAACCCCAAAACCCCAAAACCCCAAAACCCCATTCCTCGGCTTAGTTATCGAAGCTAACTATCTTTCATGAAGAACTATGGAGGTAATCAGGGTGTAAAAGTAGAGAGTACATGAGCAGAAGTAGAAGGAGAATTGTTTATTAAGACAGAAACTTATTTAAACACCGGTTCTTCTCCTGGCCTACAGAGAACAATACATGTAATTCCTTTCAACTTCTTGTAGTTTACAACAAGTTTTTGGTTCGTTGGATCCTTAGCCTTAGCAGTTTCAAAGTCATCAGCAGCTTGTGGGAAATTCTTTAAAGCTTTGTGAGAAAATGCTCTTCTGAAGTAAGCATTAGCATTGTTTGGACTTTTGTGAATTACACTATCGAAGTCTTCTATGGCAGCAGAATGTTCTTCAATCATCTGGTATGACTTTGCTCTCTCGTGGATATATCTGATATCACTCGGAATGAGTTCAATAGCTCTTGCCAATGGATAAATTGATTCCTCAAATCTTTCAAGGTTGCTGTAAGCAATTCCGATATGATAATAAATATCAGATTCATAAGTAATTGTATGAGCTCCAGAGTTATTAATCACCTGGAGGCACTTCAGTGACCTCTTTAAGGTCTTAATACATCTCTTGTACTTTTTAAAAGCATAATATGAAAGGCCTAATTTATAGAGAACTTTTGGATCAAGTTCATCGATTCCTAGGGCTGTTTCTAGATCTTCAATAGAAGCTGTGAAATGGCTAATTTGCTTCTCAGTATCTTCATCATGACCTAGCTCAAAATGTCATTGGGCTCTATTCATTAGGAATTGAACATTGTTTGGATCCTTAGTTATAGCTTCATCCATATACCTAAAGGCTAGGTCATAATCTTTCTGTGCTTGGTATCAGCATCCAAGAGCATCATAAATTCCATAGTTATCCTTAGTCTTCTCTTCAAGAGCTCTAGTGAGATCCTCTATAGCCTCATTATACCTCCTGCTTTTTAGCTTAGAGACTCCTCTGTGATAATAAGCATCTGAATATTTAGGATTGAGCTTAATAGCACAATCAAAATCTTTTATGGCAAATTGATGGTTTCCCATGTCTTGGTAGACCAAACCTCGACTCACATACACATCTTCATGAGTAGAGTAGTTATCCAAGAATTTTCTGTAGCTTTTGAGAGCTTTTTGAAACTCATCATTTTTATGATACATATTTCCGAGGTGGACTTCTGCTCCAAAGAACTTATCATCAATTTCCGTTGCTTTCTGAAAGTTTTCAATTGCTGCATCGAAATCGTTCTCATCATTTGTACCCTCGAAGGCAAGTCCTTTAGAGTGATAGAACCTAGGATCTGAGGGTTTGAGCTCGATAGCTCTATCGTAATCATCATGAGCCTCTTCATAGAGTCTTTTAGCATCTTCTTCTCTGTCCTCAATATTTCTCAAGAGAAGAGACTGGTCGTATGAGTTATTTCCTCTGTTAAAATAGTAAATAGCATCATCTCTTTCAAGATTTATAGCTTCGTCGAAGTCAGATTTAGCCTCTTCATACCTGTGCTGATGATAAAAAGAGAGTCCTCTGTTGTTGCAGAATACAGCAATCTGCTTTCTTATTTCAGGTTCAAATTCATAATTCTTATTCTCAGTTTTTATATTATGAATTGCCTTTGTATACTCATTGGTAGATTCTTCGAATTCTCCTGCTTTGAAGTAGGACATTCCAAGATTATTATGAGCGCTTGGTTCTTCTGGCTTAAGATCTACAGCCTTCTTTAAGTCATGGATCGACTCATCAAGAAATTCCAACTGGCGCAGACAGATACCTTTGGAATAATAAGCTTGGTATATAATATCTTGCTGCTTTGAATCAGGGTTCGACCTATTCTCCATATGCTTAATGGCTTGCTCAAAGTCTTCAATAGCTTCTTTATAATTATTCATTTCTTTCTTGACAGTTGCTCTGTTATAGTAATACTCGCCATTTGTTCTCCCAAGTTCTATTGCTTTTGTGTAGTGAGCAAGAGCCTCATCTGAGTTGTTCATTTTCTGATAACAATATCCACACCAGTTGTAGTGCTCTGGCTCTTTCTCAGCTTTAGCAGCAGCATCAGTGAAGGAATGGACAGCCCTATCATGAGCTCCCATTCTGATGTAGCACTGACCTATCAGAGCATTGATATCAGGTAGATCTGACTTATTCGTGTCCTGTAATGTTCTAATAATATTAGAGTAATCTTTCTCATTCTTAGCATTATTGAATTCAGCCTTAGCTCTCTTGAGAACTTTGAGGGGTTCCATCATTGACTCTCCAGCATCAACGCCTAAATTCCTGGGTCTTCTTGCTGGCATTTTTGCTTTCTTCTTTTCCATTGTTTGAAAATTTATTTATCAATTTAAATTATATTAGGAGGGGTTTTGGGGTTTTGGGGTTTTGGGGTG